TGTTGAATAAACAAAGATTACACCTTAATGTTTTGTTAGTACCCTTATTTCATTGTGTTACATTTCACCCCAGGATATGTTACAACTAACCCAGACTATGGGGTTAATTGTAACATTTCACTCTTCGTGTTTGAGACCATACCATGCAATGGGTAATTGTGCTGCAGAGAAAATAGCTGCACTATTTAATAGCAGAGACATGTAAATACTTTGCATTACATTTTGAATCCACTACCTTAAAAGACCTCCAAGTTACAGACAGAAATGTCAAAAATGTTACAACTATCCCCGGTCTCCCCTATTTTAAATTTGCTCCACATAAGGGGCTGAAATCATTTGATGCTTATGTGACTTTGAGGCAAACTATTGCTGAGTAATAGACATTACAGAAATTTCTTGGTCACGAAGAAAGTGAATAATCCACATTTTCATTGTTCATATACAATGACAGTAAAAGGCTATTCTATTCTATTCTATTCTATTCTAAAACAATGTTTTCATGTTTTAATGGTTATTTTTGAACAAATAATAATGAAAATAATACACAAAAAACATGCATCTGAATAATAATTATGAGTAGTAAAACATGACATTTAGCAAATTGAACCACGCAAAAAAGCTAATACTAATTCGAGTGTAGTGTATTGTAATGATGGAACCCTTTTTTATTTTTATTTATTTAATTTTTTTATTAAAAGTTGATCATAGCTTGAAATTGATATTTCAAAAAGATATATTGTGGACTCTAATTATAGAATGGCCCAGTAATACACAAGCTTATGTCACCACGTTGAACCAAACATTACACACGTTTGTAGATCTTCAAAACTACAATTAAGTCCATATGTTTTTGAACAGTCATTGTTATTTTTACTCTGTACACCACCAGAGAGGATTTCAATTGAAACCAAGATGTGATTGAAGTGCAGACTTTTAGCTTTAATTGAAGAGCTTTACCTAAAGTACCGTAGTAAATGAGTTACAGCCATTTCTATTTTCAGTTCCCAATTTTCAGAAGTTCAAAATTATCTTGACAATTGATGATAGTTAGGCCTGTTATCCTATTATTTCATGATTAATTAAGGCTTTCAAACATCTGGTTTAAAGGGCTCAAAGAGACGTCTGTACAAGTGAAGAAGGCCATCATCAGACTATCAAACCAAAAACCTTTTGGAGAGAAAGCAAAACCTTTAGAAGCAGCCAAATCAACAATGTGATTCATTCTTTAAAAGAAAGAATGCACTGACCAGCTTGGCTCAGAGGATAACTAACATGTATGACGGCATGGTTAAAATCAACTTCACAATATCTAACCAAGTAAAGAGCTCTCTGGAGAAGGTAGTAGTATCTATAGTTAGTCTACAATTAAGAGACACCTTCACAAAAATTTAGAGCGAGGTCCAAACCACTGGTTACACACAAGAACAAGAAGGAGGAAACACAACATCTGGTAATGTCCATGGTTTCAGGACTTCAGTCATTGTAAAAATGTTCATTGGTTTGTCCGGCTACTTTTGAGCAGCTGAAAATAGGAGACTAAACATGAATAGAAATTCCTATAGTTTAATAATAACAATTATAAGTCGTGAAAGCAAAGTTTTGTTAAAGCCTTCGAGTTAAAGCTGAAACTGTGCACTTCAGTCACATCTCGACTGTTTAATTTAAAAACCACTGTATGACACATGGAGGTAAAATTACAAAGCATGTCTGATTGTGCAGTTGTACGTTAGGTTTGTGAGCATTAATGTGACACTCTGACAGCCAAAGGCTTCTCTCAAGATTTAGCACCACAGCTCCAGGAACACTCAAACATAAGGTGTTATTAATTCTGGAGACCTAATGTGTTTTAGATTGAACAAATAAATTACACACACTTAAAAAAGCAATTATGTAAATACCCACAACCAATGAGTAAAATAATAACTTTCCAAAATTAACCAGGTTCATTCTCAGAAATTAAACAATTATCCAGGAGACCTTTTTTTTTTAGAAAAAAAGTGTTTATGTTGTACTTTTTTTAAAAGTCTTTGTTGATAAAAGACCGCAGAGCTACTTATTATAATTAGTCTGTACTTACCCTTGTTAACAAAGATCAGTGTTGGGCAAGTTACTTTGAAAAAGTAATTAATTATAGTTACTAGTTACTTCTTCAAAAAAGTAACTGAGTTAGTAACTGAGTTACAAGATTCTAAAAGTAATTAATAACTTGAAAAGTAACTATTGCTTTACTTTAAAAAAAAAAAGAAAAGAAAGAAAGAAAGGTTCAACCCTCTGGGGTCCAGGGTATAATTGGCCATTTTTGACTACTTTTGATGTTTCCTCTACATTTCACCTTTAAAAACTATTTACTTTGTTTGGTATCATTCTTTTCAGCACAACCTCACGTGTCAGCTGTTCTGCATTCAATAAGATGCCACACAAATTATTTGTGCCACTCCAAAAAAATTATTTCTATCCACTATAAAGGAGAACATCACAGCCTGATACCTGCAGGTCTGACAGCAGCAGGTGTATCACTCCTGTTTCTACCTGGAGACAGCAGTCGCCTCATTGTTCTGACACAGAACACAAAACTATCCACAACACTACACACTACACTAACTACATAAGACAACACATTCACTACACACCCCAAACACGCTAAACGTCACAAATATCTCACATCTCAAAACTCGCTCTCTCTCTTTCTGCTGTCTTTATCTCTCTCTCTCTCTCTCTCTCTCTCTCTCTCTCTCTCTCTCTCTCTCTTTCTCTGTCACTCCTAAAACTTCCTCCACTTCCTAAACAACCAAATATCATGTTGCCATATCATTTTTTGATTGGTCAACATGGTGCATTTTTCTACCAAAACGAACAGGCTGTTTTTTGTTTTGTTTCGTTTGTTTTTAATTTTTTGGTCATAAGCAGAGAGCGTTTGCTAGCGCTGTCCTTAGACAGCAAACATGAGGAAACTATTGAGGAAAAACACAATTTAAAAACTGGTATATCTCACCCTTTTGCTTTGTCATCTTAAAGTGGTCGTGTGATTGGCTAACGACGACTACTTTATTCTTCCTCAGTCAAACAGCAGCACTCATGCGATTGCTTTGCCCCCTAGTTCCAGGTGTTGTGCTAAAAAGTGATCTTCAGGCAGAAAGTGATTGCCGTCCGCAGGCGTGAGCAGCTGCTTAAAGCTGTAGCGCCCAGATTACGGTAAACTGAAGACAGCTTCAACCGTCTGTTTGTTAAAAAATAGTAACGCGACCACTATGGGCGCCGTTTGTAAACTGAAACATGCCGAAATTAACAGCAACATTTTTCCACATTTAGCTCTAAATCTTACAAAAACATGTTTTTTCGAGTCATTTTTTACAACATTTAGTATAATATTTGTAACTTTTCATATTTAAAACAGGATTTTAAATGTTAAATCTAAATGCTAAATGTTAAATGTAAATATTATATTTAAATGTAAATGTTAAATGTTAAATGTAAATATTATATTTAAATGTAAATGTTAAATGTTAAATGTAAATATTATATATAAATCTAAATGTTAAATGTTAAATCTAAATGTTATATATAAATCTAAATGTTAAATGTTAAATCTAAATGCTATATATAAATCTAAATGTTAAATGTTAAATCTAAATATTATATATAAATCTAAATGTTAAATGTTAAATCTAAATGTTATATATAAATCTAAATGTTAAATGTTAAATCTAAATGTTATATATAAATCTAAATGTTAAATGTTAAATCTAAATGTTATATATAAATCTAAATGTTAAATGTTAAATCTAAATGTTACGGGAAACTAAATATTTAGCTAATATGCAAATTTATTGTACGGGTCAACGGAAATACCAAAATAAAAGCTTCAAGAAAACCTCCCGCGCTAAAGTGTGCCGGTCGCGGTCAGGTTCTGTGTTTGCGCTCCTCTTACGGTCACTTTTGACTGCCATGAGCTGCTTCGACTATTCCCTACCAGCATGTCCAGCGATTTAGCTGAAAACATTGGAAGAGCCGTTTTGTCGGCCATCCAACGATTCAGCGGTAATGCACCCTCGACCTCACAAACGCCGCAGCACTTGGTAAGTTTATTGTATAGCATTTTGGACGGGTTGATAGCAGTGTTAGCAAAACTAGCAAAGCTAAATTACTTAGCTAGTCCTCAATTATTTCATTTGGTAGGCGGCAGACAGAGATCGAACATCATACAACTCTATTTATTTATTTGGTAGGTAGGTAACAGTCGTTCTTGATGTAAATGTTTCCTTAGGAATCCAGCAATGCACCTGGACCAAGTAGACCTGCCGTCTCCACTGGGATACCATACTGCTCGGTAGGCCTTCTTACACATATCATTTAGCTGACTAATTTTTGTTTTTTCTTTGGTGTAATATGTCACCTTAAATTAAATCCTGTCAAAGTAATGATTCTGATTCTACATACATTTCATCTTCTTAGGGGTCCATCACTAGCAGTGTCACATCACCACCAACAACATTCACAAGTTTTACGTCATATTTTATTACTGTTTTTGCTGTGAAGTGTCTTTTGATTGCTCACTTTCATATTTTAAAACTATTGATAAAATATTACTCTAGCTAATCTGTCACAGTACAATTGCCTCAAATTACCCATCTTTTGTTATAGAATTGTGCTCATTGAGATTTTCTGTGCCGTGTTCTAGGATGGTTACCAAGGAAGGCTTCAGATTTCCAAAGAGGAATTGGAAAATGTTCTTTCCCTGAAAACATCTTTTACTGAAGCTGCATCTATCCTTTCCATCTCCAAGCCCACTCTGTATAAGTTACTGCAAGACTATAATATCTCAAGAGTCAAAATTCAATGTAATCAGTGACCATGAGTTAGATCAGATAGTGTCCCAAATAAAAACTGAACATCCAAATGTTGGAGAAGTGATGCTGATGGGTCATCTGCGTTCCAAAAACATAGTGGTTCAAAGATGGCGCGTAAGAAAGTCACTGCGGAGGGTGGACTCGGCTGGTGTTCTATCCAGGAGAAGAACTGCAGTTGCTCGGCGAGTATATTCTGTGCCTCATCCAAATTTCATATGGCACATAGATGGAAATCACAAACTGATTCGTTGGAAGTTTGTTGTTCATGGTGCAATAGATGGATACAGCAGGATGTTGTTTCTTCAGTGCTCCAGCAATAATCGAGCTGAGACTGTGAAAGCCCTCTTTACTGCAGCTGTTGGACAATTTGGCAGACCCCTGCATATCAGGACTGATCACGGAGGAGAGAATGCTCAGATTTGGGAGGACATGCGAGCAAGCAGGGGTGAAAGCTCTGTCTTAATGGGAAGTTCTGTGCACAACCAGAGGATTGAGCGTTTCAACCGAGACTTAAACAACAACTGTAGCCACATTTATGCACCTATATTTTATGAATTGGAATCACTTGGTATCCTAGACTTAGAAAATGCAACAGACCTATTTTGCCTTCATTATGTGTTTCTACCACGAATCAACCGCACTTTGAAGGAATTCAAAGCTGGATATAACAATCACTCTGTTTCCACTGAAGGTAATAGAACTCCCATCCAGCTTTTTGCCTGCGGAACTCATGTGTCTCATCGTCACAACCCAGAACTTTCTACAGCAGAGGTCTCCATACCCTCCTTGTCAAACTCTGAAAGTAGGTTTGTCCCATTAAATGACAGCGATTTACAAGAGCTATATACAAGCATGGACATGCTGGTAGGGAATAGTCGAAGCAGCTCATGGCAGTCAAAAGTGACCGTAAGAGGAGCGCAAACACAGAACCTGACCGCGACCGGCACACTTTAGCGCGGGAGGTTTTCTTGAAGCTTTTATTTTGGTATTTCCGTTGACCCGTACAATAAATTTGCATATTAGCTAAATATTTAGTTTCCCGTAACATTTAGATTTAACATTTAACATTTAGATTTATATATAACATTTAGATTTAACATTTAACATTTAGATTTATATATAGCATTTAGATTTAACATTTAACATTTAGATTTAACATTTAACATTTAGATTTATATATAATATTTAGATTTAACATTTAACATTTAGATTTATATATAACATTTAGATTTAACATTTAACATTTAGATTTATATATAATATTTACATTTAACATTTACATTTAAATATAATATTTACATTTAACATTTAACATTTACATTTAAATATAATATTTACATTTAACATTTAGCATTTAGATTTAACATTTAGATTTAGCATTTAGATTTAACATTTAAAATCCTGTTTTAAATATGAAAAGTTACAAATATTTTACTAAATGTTGTAAAAAATGACTCGAAAAACCATGTTTTTGTAAGATTTAGAGCTAAATGTGGAAAAATGTTGCTGTTAATTTCGGCATGTTTCAGTTTACAAACGGCGCCCCATAGACCACACCGCATTTTCTTGTTAGTAACGCCGTTGTAACGATAGGAATAGTAATTAGTTAGATTACTCGTTACTGAAAAAAGTAACGCCATTAGTAACTTGTAACTCAGTTACTTGTAAGGCCGTTATTCCCATCATTGACAAAGATTCAGAAAAACATCACCTTCTGTTTTTTTTTTTTTTATTTATGTACATTTACTTATTTGGATGGGCTCAGTCTAGATTTTCCCCAAGAAAAACTCAATTTTGAATCATGTGCAGTGAAGCAAATCTTAGCTTTGATGTGATATCATCATCGGGTAGTTTATTTTAAGGATGGATGACTCAACTTCTGGAGACCTGAAACTGAGCACGGATGGAAACAAACCCTTATTCTATATATGCACTGTTAGCTTTAATTTTTTTTAAATATTTATCTTATAATATTTATCTTGGACTTTATACAAGTTTAAATATTTTAGATGTCAGCATGTTTAAATTAATTTAGAAAATCAATACAACAAAGTCAGGGAGTTCTTCCTCTTCTTCCTCCAGCTGCTGCCTTTAGGGGTCGCCAGAGACAATCATCTTCCTCTAATGTCCTTTTTCACTACATCCATGGACTTCCTCTGAGGTCTTCCTCTTGTCCTCCTGCCTAGCAGCTCCACACTGAACATCCTTTGTCCAGTATATCCACTATCCTTCTTCTGCACATGTTCAAACCATCTCAGCCTTGCCTCTAATTTTGTCCCCAAACCTTCTGATATACTCATTTCTAATCTTCTCCATCGCTCCCAACGGCTTTAACTCTGCCATCTCCAGCTCCATCTCCAGTTTTTGTGGGCACTTTTTAAACTTACCTGTTTACATTTAAATCCTTATTTACTATAAGTGTAAAAAATAAATAAACAAAGGGGGTGATGGTTGAACTCTGGAGAATAAGAATTTAGAGATATTTGACCTGAGTAGAGAGAAGCTGTAAATTGAGGACCCTCCTGGTTTCTGATCAAACATTTTCTAACAAACACGACCATTCTTGAGCCACCAGGTGGCAGCAGAGTACCACAGTAGATAGTAAAAAGCATCACACAAAAGTAGAAAATCAGTCATCCAATTGCTTCGTTCTTTATTTGTTTTCGTCAAAACACACAATTTACCAACACTGGTTTTCACCTTGTGTATTATTTGCTCGAGTTATTACTTGATTCTTCCTCCAAAAACTGAAGGCAGACCCACATGACTGACACCACCCTTACTGTATCACTGAGATCAGGATCAGAGGAAAGGCTCTCTGCTTGATGGTCGCATGCATCTGTGCACATGTGTGCAGGCATTTGATCAACATCTTCGATTAGATGTCCACTTAACAAGTCAGATCCCCACCACTAGCTCCCTCATTGCCGGGGGAGGGTCCAAGGTGCCTCGACCCCCACCGTAAAGGTCACTCTGCAGAGGTTAAAGGTGATCATGCACACACACACACACACACACACAAGGAATGAAAGTATCACTCCCCCTCTGCTCCCATCTCTCTTGTGCAGTCAGTTTCTCTGCCCTCCTCCATCGCTCTCTTTCTCTCTCCCTTCATCTTTCCTCTTTTTTTGTCTCCGTTCTATTTGAAATTGATTGTCTCTACCATCACAAAGACACTTGGCTCTGATTGATTGATTGGTAAGGGAAGAGGGAGAGAACATCGACACTGGGGCTTCAAGATCTCTAAGGTCTGACTGAAGGAAAAAGCAAATGACGCCATTTTAAAACACTGGAAGGAAGCGTATTTCAGCTGCCTGGCTGTCCGTTTGTTTCAGCTTCGACTGTTTCCTAAAGCAGACAAACAGCCAGGGTGATCAAATTTAGATTAAATGCAGAAAAATAAAGCAGAGAAACTCCACACTCACACTCGCGGCTGTGGTATGAAACGAAGATATATAGAGATGGAAGTGCAGGGACTACTGGACACAAAGGGAAAGGTTACAACAACAGGGGGAAACACACAGTAATGAATCTCAAAGACATACAAATATACATATTTTATACAAATACACAAACAGCACATAAAACACACAAGGGTAAAAGAATGTACTTGAAAACCAAAACCCAGCTTTTTTTGTTTGTTTGTCTTTCGTTTGTTTCCCCCCCAGTTTCTCCCCCTTACCTCCACCTGTGGAGGAACAGATCATCCCGCAGGTTATATACACTAATATAGGATCCATGCATAAAAAGAATTGCTCGTCCCACTCCTAAATGACAGAGGTGCTTTGGTTCGTTCTTTTTGTTTTAATATGTGAATCACTTCAACACACATAGGAAACAATTTTCAAACACAAACGAACAAAAAGAAAATGATGCAAAACAGAAATCATTCTGTCTTTGATGTGTTGTTATTTGTTGATTTCTTCTTTTCTTTTGCTGCATGTGTATTGTGTCATTGCCTCTTTATTTATCCCTTATGCACTTTTCTACACCCATGTCATGCCCCTTCTTTCAGTCTAAAAAAAGGACTCGGTTCAAATCTGCACACAATTTAAAAGAAACAAATAAAAAACTGGAAAGCTGTCAAACCAAAAACCAGTTTAAGCTCCACACTTTGTTTCATAGAAATTATAAATAAAACCCCCCAAACAATCATTTTGTTGTGACTTTAATGTCACGCTCATTGCTAAACATTGTCCTTATTGTTTCACTACATTAAATTTTACAGTCAAGATTTGAGGTATATCAAGATGAACTGTCTACACATGCCTGCCTTGTTGTAATGCTACCCTGGAAAGAGGGACCAGCGAAGAGGGGGGAGCGGGGGAGGATCACCAATGTGCATCATGTGTCGACAGCAGATGGAAGGTTTCTTTTATATATATTTTTTTGGTTTCTGTTTTTTTTTTCTGTTTTCAGACCAGTTAAATTGAAATGGTGGCCATCGAGAGACAGGAAAGAGCAGGAGTGAAGGGCTTTGTAAACAGCTAAATACACACACACACACACACACACGCCGACTCTCGGATTACAAATGACACAAAAATATCTCTGGGAGGAGTGTGTGTGCGTGTGTGTATCGTGAAAAGAGGACTTGGTGAGATGATACGATCTCGTCGGTGTGTAAAAAAAAACGGAATGGCAAGTGATGGTTTCCCCTCACCGTGTGAAAAGAAGTGCCGAGAGTCCGAAAAAGTGGCCCTTTAAGATCACAAGGACCCCTCCAGTGCTGCACCCCCTTCACCCAGTGTGTCCCCCCTACTTCCCCTCATTTAAACATGTGTGTGCATATTTGTGTGTGATCAGAGCAGTCCATCCCCTGGTTGAAGGAAAAAGGCACTCAACTCTTCCCACATAACAAACAGGCTGTGTTTGCTATGCAGCACGACTGCTCCGTGGAAGTGCGTGCATCCAAATCTGCATCTGTCTGCAACTCTGCATGTGTGTGTGTGTGTGTGTGTGTGTGTGTGTGTGTGTGTGTGTGTGTGTGTGTGTGTGTGCATCCCAGGTCCAGTGTGAACACAGCAGGTGTGGATTATCTTTGGTATTTACGGCTGGGTCACTGTCTGGTTATTTTCTGTGAGGTAGCCACACACACACATATTTCCCTCACTAACACTCTGCTTTGGGTTTTAACTTTTTTTTAAAAAAATGCAGTTTTCCTCCGTCTAGACTCCAAAGTCATTCCCAAATAACAACAACCTGTTTCCGTGCACTACACCTCCCAGTTTATGGGTTTATGGAGGAATGTCCCTTGCTACCTTCCAGTCTCATGACGGGCCTCTGATGCTCCCGCCTCCCCTGCTTCACCCTTCCTCCTCCTGTCTGTGTCTCCTCCCTTATATGATTATCTCCCGCTAGAAGATGCTACACAACAAGTGGCTTTGCCCACACACACACACACACAGAAAAAAATGTTATAAAAAGACACAAAAAAATCTGGCAATTCATATGGTGACAAAAGAAAACAATCAGCAGAGGAATGCCGTGACTGTCCATTTCAAAGAGGTCAAAGTTTAAAGATCAAGGAAGAGGTCCTTCACATCCACGCAGTCCGTTTGTTCCATCAAACAGGTATTCACAAATATGCACAGTTTGTCTCTGTTTGGTATCCCTTCCTCATCTGTGCATAGGATCAGTCCATGACATGATGATTTGTCTGTTTTGATTCTGTTTCATTTTTTTTTTAAGTTCTTACATTTTGTCAACAAGGTGCTTCTTTATATATTGTTTCAGCACGACATAGCACAATAGTCACGAGAAAGAAACCATGTGTCTATGGTACTATTATTACCCGCATCAATTAGTTGGGGAGGGGGAAAAGAAAATGAAAGAAAGACACATATCAAGAGAGTAGATCAATTGAGAATAGATAAGACAGAGAGAACGAGAGATGAAATTAAAGATTATTTACAAACATTTCCATTGTGTTTCATGTGGATCACATCAATGTTTTTCTTTTCTTGTCTTTTTTTAATTTTTTTTTCTGAGGTATGAAATAGGCAAACATGCCGTATAGTGCTCACAATTTGTAGGTGTGTAATGACACAGACCAGACACTGCAGGGCACACTGGGGGTGGGGGAGGGGGGACTAAGTGGGCTGCGTCTGTTCTCTGATTATCATAAAGAGGCAAACATCATTGGCACTCAGGATCCTATATTGTGACATTTGACCTCTGTGTTTGGCCGCTAGAACAGAATGCACCCACCTTCCCTCACTCCCTTCACTCGAGGACAACAGCTTTTTTTTTATGTGTGGCATGTCATCCCTGTTTGATTGTTCTTCTTTTTGTAACCTGAAAATAACCTTTCAAGTGACTATGCAGTCTGTGGCCGTGCAGCCACTCAGTGTATATAAAGAAGCAAACATTCAGCATGTGTGTCATTGGATGTTTGGATGAGTGTGTTTGAACCATTTCTCCTCCTGTTTGGTTCTCTGGGTGTTCAATCTGCAGCTGTGTGAGGAGCAACGCCAGCGCGCTGAGAACAGGTTGGCGTGTGGTTAGACTGGGCAGCAGATGGCGCTGTTACTCCGACGTGCAGCGGGCTGAGTGGCTGCAGAGGAATAGTCATAATAATAATCATAATAATAATAATACACCCCCACTGTGGGCGATGTGAACGTTACGCACAGGTAGCGGACGACCTGCGGAGATCGTTTCACATATACGTCACACATAAACGCATCTCTCAATCAGTCTCAGCGTGGCACTGAAACGCGGGTGTAGCTGATCGCAGGCCTACAGATACACCTGCTGCATGATTATTTGTGAAGACCTCTCCAGGCCGGCTGTCTTTAAAGCTACTTGTTTCCTGACGCAAAACCCTCTCTCTCTTTCTCTCTTTTCCATGTTTCCACGCACACCCACAGCGCGGTTAGTATAAATGGATGCTCTTTGGTTTTTCAGGATGATTTTTTTTCCTGACGGCTACATGTGGTTGTTGGATCTTTGGTTTCAAGAGTCACATTTTGAAAATGCATGTTAGCCCCTAAGAGTGGCATTCGGGTCAAAGGATAACACCGAGAAGGTCTGATCCATCTGCACAGAGTCCTCGGTACTCTGAACAAATGGATCAGTTGAGTGGTCTGAAGCCACAGCGCTCGGTAGCTCTGCAGTGACGGAGAGTCTTAGCGGAAAGGAACCCTCCATTCTCTCTACATCCGTCCTGCAGACGTCAGGCCTTGGAGAAGGAAACAGCAGAGGAGGTACCGGGTTGGATTGGTGAGGCGCCGTTATTGTTGTTGTTGTTGTTGTTGTTGCTGCTGCTGCTGTTTCCGTGGGATGTGTGCACGTGGCCGTGCGCCCCGAGACTGTGATCCTCTGCGTCCCAGCGCTCTGGACATCGGCGGCGTGAGTTCATGAAGAAGTTGGAGACGGTGGAGAGCTCCAGGCCCAGCTGCTGGGAGATGGTGAGCTGCATCTCCTTGGAGGGCCGGCGGTTCTCTCTGAAGATGGCTACCAAGGTGCGACGCTGCAGGTCGGTGAAGACCAGTCGCTGCTTCTTTGGCACCTGGTTCCGCTCCCGTCCTCGGTCCTCCTCCTTGCGTTTACATGCTGGAGAGAAGAAGGAGACGGATAAAGGGAGGAAGGGAGAGAAGAATAACATGTTATATATGTGTCACATATAGTGGAGCACAAAATACATATGATACAGATAATTTATACATTTAACATAATACTCAGGGAACAAAAATTTCCAAAAAAAATAGCAACAAAAAGCAGAGTGTAGAACCAAAAAGTTTAAAAGTGGTTATTTATGATCATGTTTCAGTGTGATGATGAAGTCCTGATGCTTAAGCGGAATGTGTTTAGGCCTGTATCACGATCCCTAATTGGCTATTTGAAAAGGGCACATTATGGGAACAGATTACTCTGTGTGTGTGAAACAGGAGCATGCGCAAGCTACAAAAGAAAGAATGAGAAGCAGGAAGACATAAGGAGAGGAGCAGATCGAATTTAAATATTTAAAATGTGACTGAGTCTATACTACGGGCTGCCTTCTGAGTGAGAAGATATTAAACTATATTAAAATAATATCTAAACCTCACATGTTTCTGTTTCAGGTGGGGTTATCCTGATATCAATGACAGAGTTTTTGTAGATTTCCAAACTAATGTTCCGCATTTAAAATCCAATATTATTGCTATGTAGGTTGCCAAACACGCTCTAAGTGTTGAGATTGATTTCCGAACAGGTCTAGTTTTGTCCATTTAAATCACAAATTTAGCCAGGGTGAAACTTGTTAACAGCGGCCTTATCTTTAAGCTGTGCCGTGTTTTTCCCTGTTCAAGTCAAATTTGAGACTTGGTTAATTAAGCGGGGTTTTTCTTGCACCATTTATATTAATAACAGGACTGAAAATGAGCACTCAGATCTCTTACTGTTCCTGAATGCTACACTACATATTCTCGTTGGTTACTACCTGCTGCTGCAGCAGAACATAACATGAACAGTAACACTCAGAGGAGTAAACATCTTGCTCATTGAAGTATCTCTAGACGTTTATTTCAAATGTGTGGTGACATGAGATAAACCGTCAGGCTCCGAGGAGAGGAGGAGAGGAAATATGTCTAAAACCTGTGCAGGCCTGAGTTATAACTCACCTGCATGCGGATTTGAAGTATTTATGTATGTAAACAATTTGGCTTGATTTGTGACTAATCGAGAAATAACGCGGTTATGGTGAATAGAGTAGTGTGATCGTGGATGTGTGTGTGCCTTGCTGAAACTGGTGGAGATGTGAAATGCTGACAAAGAAGCGGTCTGCCGTGCCTGGATGCACCGTCAGTAGGCTCGGCTCTGGCTGTGGAGACTGGAGGGAGTCTGTTCTGTTCTGCTGCCCTAAAAAGCTGCAATGATCGATTTTCCGCGGTTTTCTCCCGAACACGTGGTCCAGTAATCAGGGCTCCCTTCCCCACCCGATCGATCCCTATCGATCCGCGAGAACTCGGTGGTGTGTATGTGCGCACGCGCGCGTGTGTGTGTGTATTGGGGGGACGCGCGCTCGGGCTGGGGATTGTAGCTCGCGAACGCGCCTTGTGACAGACAGATGAGAAGAAATTGTTAATCTTTGGAAGAACAAAGAAAATGTGGCAGTCATCCAGTCTGGGTGCTTTTGAATTGGGGGGGGGGGGGGGGGGGGTCTCAGATAGGTCACTGATTACATAGTTTTTAGGCCATATAAAGTGTGTGCGCGTGCACGAGATTGAGTTTGGGGATGTACCTTAAAAAGCGCCAAGGAATGATCACTGATATCTACACCAGTGCCAGTGCTGGATGATTGTCAGTGTGTGTGTGTGTGTGTGTGTGTGTGTGTGTGTGTGTGTGTGTGTGTGTGTGTGTGTGTGTGCAGGGAAAGAATGAGAAGAAGGAAAGGTGGGGGTGGGGGCAGAAGATAAATAAGACTGGCTGCAGTGTGGAGGTGGTGGTGTATGCAAATGATTGATGACTTTACAGCAGGTTTAGACAACAGCAGTAAACTGATTTGACTGTGAGGTGGGGATCAATATAAATGTGCACATGTGTATGCATGCATGCGCGCGTGCACGTGTGCGAATGGTCATTGTTCACGCTTTGTTACTGCAAGCAAAGCACAATTACCAAGATATTTTTCCTCAGCTGAATGTAGGTTATGTGCTCGTCCCTGCATTGTATCCTCCATCCCTCCTCTCGACTTCCTCAACTCTTTTCCTCTTGTTGTTTTTCTCAATTGTTTTAATTTGCCCCCGGATTGATAGCCCCCATATTGATTGATCCGCACTTCAGAACCATTTCATGGAACGTTTATTCAATTGGTTCAGGCCCAGCCATGCCAGAATCTCCTGAAGGCTCTCTAAGTGCTGTCTCAAACCAAACTCAATACTCCCTAATGTAATGACTGAATGCTAGTGCTAATATAGTGATAATTTAATATGTAATGCCTGTTTTCGAACAACTTGTGCTACCGGCCATTTTACAATGCCAACACCACTCTGGGTCTCCTCCATCAGCTCAGATGCTGCTCTGCAGCACAGAGGCCTGTGTGCAGTGCCTGCAAAACACATCTGCCGAGGAGTTAGCACTAGGCCTGGGCCCGCAATGGTCAGTGCATATCTCAGATAATCAATCAATTTCAAATGAGACTCCTTGAACGTCCCTCGCCGCGGTAAGAAACACAGGACCACAGGGAAGGAAAAGTGGGGGCTACTCATTAAAGCGACCTCTCTTGAGACAAGAACCAAACTGTTATTGGTTATCTTTAGTGTGTCTCATTACTAAATGGGCTTTTCTGAAGAGACAAGCAGTCTCAAGTGGCAGTTGCGCATGTCATCTCTTTCATATGTCCCTGGTGTCAGCGGTGCCAAAGGTATCAGGGCAACCGCCACTTTGTTTAATCTCAACCGCTTACTGATCCAGAGATGAACTCGCTGGCCGTTCGGTGTGTTAAGCTGCACTTGTGCCTCGTTTAAGAGCACCTCGGCTTTATGACTGTGGCTGCCGGTGGCTGCTGTCTCTGCTTTCCCTTTCAGTGTGTGTGAATGTGCGCAAGTGGGCAGTAAGTGTGCACACATGCGCGAACCTACACGTTTCAACACTCTGCTTAGAATAACATAAATAAATCGCCAATTATCCGATTAAAATTGATTGGACTGATATACACTCATTCTGTTTTGTTTCTAAACTTTAACTGCTTGACTTTAGAGGTCCCACACCTGTCACGCACACCACTCGTGACTGGCTCCCGTAGTTCCTGATCCTGTGTTAAAATGAGATTTAAGGCATGCATCTGGAAACTTTTTTTGCCAAAAACTCTGCACAGTAAAGGTCAATTGGAAACAACAAGAGGTAAAACACATTTTAGGTAGTCGTGTGTGAAAGCAGTCGATTAGAGATATTTGGTGTTGTTTTGTTTTGTTTGTTTGTTTGTTTGTTTGTTTGTTTGTTTGTTTGTTTGTTTGTTTATACCAGGAAACGAATAGAGTTTTCGTGTGAAGACTCTCTAGCTGGTGTGCATTGAAATGTTTAGTGTACAGGAGGAAACATGAGATCCTTCGATCTCATCAGCTTTATGTCCTCAAGCCTCGAGAGATGAAAGCCAATAAGTGGACGTGAGTTACAATTAAAAGATCATCTCTGGCCTGTGTTTCCTTTGATTTGGGAAAATGAAAATGCACAAGGCAACTCGTTTAATGTTACAGGAGAGTATTATGTGTCTTACCTCTGTGTGTGTGTGTGTGTGTGTGTGTGTGTGTGTGTGTGTGTGTGTGTGTGTGTGTGTGTGTGCAGGTGGGGCGTGAGGGGCAGACGGTGAACTAACCGCACCGTGCTGCTGCTAGTCGACGCCTGGACGGACGGATGAGATCGGGCTTTGTGTGCGGTGAGACGGGCCCTCTCCCGCCCTGGACGGACTACTGCAGGCGAGAAACAGTTTGGTGTCAATCACTCTCTGTCACACCTCCTCAGATGTACGGTTATTGATTATATTGATCAACCTATAGGCCTATTCATTGCATTGCAGGGAAGTAAAGCGCCCGAATGACCCCTGCTCCCACCACAACACTGCGCAAGGCTGAAACCAAACCGCCTCTTCGTCCTTTAAAACGGGCTACCCTCGATTGATTAGGATTGGCTTATTTGAAAGCTGTCGTTTATTTCTCAACTAAAGCCCGTGTTGTCCTGTTGAGACTAGTGATCGGCAGCTTTACAGAGTATTAGATCCTGTCTCGTAGTCCATAAAAGTCATGTAAGCCCTGTAAACCAAGTTTTGCGCCTCTTCGTTTTTCTAAGATTTGTGTTTTTATTTTAAAAACGTAAAAACTAAACGCAGCATTCTCTCCACGGAGCACAAGCCTCAATCAAATATTTCGACAGTTTTTTGAGACCCTGAACACGGCGAATAAAGGAGAACAAAACGAATAAATCTTTGTAAACTAAGCTACAAAGAAGCCGCTGGGAAATGTTCCCGAAACACTTAGAAAGACTTACAATCAAGCCGTTGTTTAATCTAGTAGAACTTTATTTCTTCGATGATGACTGATTCATTTGTAAACTTTATATTCAAGCTTTAAATATTGGGCCTTCAAAGTGATCTCTCTGTTTCTTTTTTCCTGTGTGTTTTTTTTTAAGTTATTATCGCGAAAGTTTAATATAATCTCAGCCTTTGATGTAATAAAAACAAAGAAAAAAAAACTGCACAACGTGCCTCTGATTTAGTAAGCAGTGTCCCGTCTGTAACAAACATGCAATAATATCGAACACAAACACACAAACACAAACTAACCAAAAAATATTTTTCAAGCACTTAAAAATACCTCGTGTACTGTAACTTATGAATGATATTATTATCTGGTCCCTATAAACAAGGACTATTTCTCTTCCCGGCCGTTTGGCTTAATGAACAAATTTTCTGCTCAAATTAAAGGGAAATTCTAGATAACGATAAAATGAGTTCTGGCTTACACATATCTCCGAGACAAACGCTCTCTGACACACAGAACATCTGCAGGGACTCTAAAGTCAAGTCAGTTTAATTTGTGATAACTTTTAAGAAAGAGCTTAAAAAGATTAAAAGGTCG